AAATAGGTCTATATGAAAAGATTCACTCACTTGTACTTCCACAGCAAGGTCATTGCTCATCTTATCTCCACCTATCCAGACAAGTTGTGTTTTCTTTGGCCATGCAATAGTCCCATTATTCCTCATCCGCCATATTTTTGTGAATGGAGTTGAAGGTGCCATAACAGTACCATCAAATATGTTCACATCCCGAATGAAGAGGCTGTCTGGCTTTGCTGCTACTGGTTTAACCTTAAAGCTCCTGAGAACCTGTTGCTGTCTGCGTCGCTGATATTGGAACAAAAATATGAGTGGGACGTATCATAGCCAAATGAAGAATAATACCCTATGCTCTATTCGAGCTGACATGAAACAAAAAAAGAATTATCCATAGGTCTATACACATACATCATGCATCCCACTAAAGGGGACATGGGGATGGGGTCGGTACACCGCTGGGCGGTCCATTCTGATATAATCATTTATATTTCCTATTTCTTCAAAGCAGATGCTGCAAAGATCATAGTCCACCTTTCTGCAAGGACAAAAATGAATTTAAAATCATCAGTAAATTCTATAAGGAAAAGCGATCTTATAAATTTATTTTTGTGAATTCCTTGTTAAGACAGCCACATCTGTACATAGGAATCAAAAGAACACATGCATAGTCAACCGTACAGAGGTGAATATTCGCACACACGCATTTATCTGTTTTACTCCATCTTTCTACAAAATTCATCACAAGTAAATTAAGAGATCCAGTTCCACTTCCACCTTAACAGTATACTGGGCTATAGTCAAATTAGCTCTATTAGGACTTACACTTTTGACTTGAACCGAGGGCCAGTTATGGGGTGGACCCCACATCCATCACAACAAATCCCACGATGGAAGATATTCTCACTGCAATCATTCTGACTAACATTCCACCCCAAGGGACCCATTTCAGTAGCAGATTGTGAAGCAGGCGTCTGATTCCCCATAACCAGTCCAGAAAATGGGCACTGATATGTGGGAATAGAACCAGAATATATACCCGGGATATAACGGCCAGGACTAGCAGTAGAAAATGGGCCTGAAGTGCTCTTTAAAACATCAGATTTCATCCTGTTACCAATGCAGTCTCCCTTTGTAGATTCAGCAGCAACGACACCAGCAGGTTTTGGATCCACTTTAGTCTCACCCAGGTTACCGATGACCTCCGTGATACCGAAAGGATTTGCAATAGGTGGCAACTCAGATGGCCTAACAGGAGATGCTGGTTTCCCAACATTATTTTCATGAGGCGCCTGCCGATTGAGGAAATGAGACTTTCCATTTATTTTGTTCAAAATGGTCTTTTTAACCAACAATTCTTTCTTTCTCGAACTATGCGAGGTAACAGCCGGCTTCCCTGATTTTGGCGAAGAAACATTGCCAGGATGGGCAACATTGATATTCTCAGATGACTGATCAACAGATCCTCCAGTTACACTGTAAACGTTTACCTCATCCTCAGGGTTTATTTTTTCCAAGCTCTCTTTGTCAGAGCTCACACCTGATACATCTTTCGGTGTGGCTGAGATGCCTGAGTCCCTATTTTCTTCTGCTGCTGTGCCACTTTGAGAAATACCACCCTCGCCGATAGAGGAATTGTCTCCAGGTTGGGCAGTCTGTGAAAGCTGATCCATGTAAGACAGACCCAAATTTGAGAAGTGATCAACAAGCTCCATAATACTACTACCAGGAGCCGAGGATGATGCTTTGGATGCTAGATCAGATGAGAGCTTCAGGAGAGTCTCACGTAGAGGCTCTGGTACAGTGTTCAGAATTTGAGACACACCAGTGTTCAGATTTTGCAGTGGTTGTTGGACAAGATTAGTGGATGATGCTTTGGAAGCCAAATCAGCCGATACTTTCATGAGTGTTTCCTTCAGCGGCCCTGGTAGTGTTCTAAGAACTTCAGAGATACGACTGTTCGGATCTTGCTGTGGCTGCTGAATGCGAGGCGACCACAAGGGAGTCGAACTCGAACTTGAATTCACTTTAACAGTAATTCTTAATGGGTTCAAATCCTGTTTCACCACATCACGAAGATCCTCATCATCGGCAAGGGTCACTATGTCACCATCTTCATCAACATAAGTAAGCATCAACTCGGCATTCGCGTCAAAGCTAAAGAGGGAAAGGATCTTCTTTTGCAATCCATCCATAGTGAAATTAAGTTCATCCCCAACAATCTGGGCACTGAAGCGCCTAAGTGAATCACCATACTTAACCTGAAGAAATGTCGTCAGAGTTAGTCAACAAACATTAGCTGTTCAATGCCGAAGTTGAACTCACACAGGCATCATATAGTAAAAGAATAAGTGTTTTCATCCGGTCCCTGATAAGCAACTGGAAAAAAATAAAATTGGACTTGAAAAGCAAAAACAAAGAAAAAAAAGAAAAAGAAATGCCAGTCTCGTTTTCTCCAGCCAGCTTCATACCACTAATCAGTGTTCATAAATCAATACAGTGGTATTACTAACTAATGCCCAAATAGCATACAGCATTAATAGGAAATCAGAAAATAGATACAACAACAACAACAACATAGCCTTTTAGTCCCAATCAGAAAATAGATAGATTTGCAAAAAAAAATGCCACCTTTTGCCTTTCTGTTTGCAGATAAGCCACCTTTGTCAATCACAACCAAATGATTACCAATATTGACTCATTAATGCCAAAGAAGGCTTTTTTTGCAAACAGAAAGTGGAAAGGAGGCATTTTTAAGCCCCCTGGTAAAATTATATAGGATTATGCCAGCAATTAAAAAATTTCATCACAACATAATAATCTACTACATCATTATAAGCAAGATCTAGATGGAATGGAGGAGCAAAGCAAGAAAATAGGAAAATTGACTTAATGTCACTGAACATTCATACAACCGAGTCCCACCAAACACACAAAGAAAAAAGACTCATACTGAAGAACAAGAATTCCATACGAAAAAAGAACCAAACCCCCAAAATCAAACAAGGACACTCAGCTACTGGATTTCAGCAAAGGACATACCCAAAACGAAAGATTTTGGCACAGCGGATGTAAAACATCTATAAGCAAAAGAATAAAATAAAATAAAATTAACGGCAACTACCTTGATCACCACACTGGAAGATGCGGCCATAGCTAGAGAGAACCCAAACTCCAAGCAACAGATGATATCCTTCTGCACAGCCTCGCTTATCTCCTACAAAAAGAGAAACCCTATCCCTACAAGTTAATCAAATTGTGTCAAAGGGCAAACGGCGAACGAGCAAAACAAGAAATCCTAACGAAAATTAACCCGATTCGATCAAATAATCAGATTTCAGGGCAATCCAAAGCGCATCCCTGAGCCGCGTTCCAGTCTAGAATTCTTCTCCGTGTGGGTAACGTAAAAAGCCGTGAACAGATTGTAGAGAAGTGTACATTTATAACTACGAATGAGTAGGCGAAGGCGAAAGGATCTTTTGTTTATTTTTTTAATTTCCGTTGATTTTTTTTATTTTCTTAAATTATTGTAAGAGTTTCTTGCTTAAGAGGAAAGGAAAAAGTCTCAAGTTTATCGAGTGGAGCAATTACGTACTTGAAGTTTTATGAAGTGAGGGGTCCACCAAACTTTTCTTATCTTAACGAGCCTTGCTAAGAGCATCTCCAATGCTATGCTTTTGAAAGCCAATCATTTATAACACATGTCAATTAATGATTGTAATGTTAATCCACATAGGAATAATGTTAAAAGAATGAAAATTTGAATCAAATTAGTATCTCCAATGCATCAATTTGATAAGAAGTTATTTGTATAGGTGGACCAATTATAATAATTGATTGATACAAAAATAATAAAAAAATAAATCAAATATAAAGAGAATTGATTAGTCATCATGTTTAACATGGTGTTAGATATTAGAAAGTGAGTTCAACAATGTCAATATTAAATGCCATCCACATCATCATGAAAGAGCTAATGACAAGATGCATTGGAGAATAAATTAGTAACAAAATTTCAAGAATTGATGATATGGATAAATTTTTACAATGTCAAAAGTCACATTGGAGATGCTCTAATGCCTTGGCCCTCGACAATTTTCAATGGTTTTATGTGGTTCTGCCGTTTCTAACAACCTTCTATAATTATATCATATTCTTTGATTATTTAAAAAATATTAATATTTATTAATATAGTATGATTTACTTGTTGTATATTGGAAATTGGCTCCACTATAAAACCAATTGTTGGCTTCATAGCAAAACTGTTCTATTTTATTGTCATATAGAAATAGTTTTATGGGCCACACTAAAAATATTTAAAAGGCTGTTTAGATGTATAAGTCATTATTGACAACTTCTATTATTTATTATATTATTTATTTAATTTATTTCTTTTTTCTAACCAATTACAATTTTACACATCACAAATGACACCACAATTAACATTAATCATTGCAGATACATTTTTAAAGATGCTCTAAGTCTATCATTTGTGAACGAGTCCAGCTCAGTCGTCAAATTGAATGTTTAATGAACTAAGCCAACTAAATGAGCCAGTAATATTCAAGTTCAGCTCGTGCTCGACTTACTATTAACAAATCGAACTCGAGTCTTGATGAGTCGTGTGGAGCAGAGTTTACAAGCCGCTCATTCATATAACAGATCTAATCGCATATATGCAATTTTACGGATCTTTTATTCGAGCCGATTCAAGTTCCATATTTCAACTTGTGTTGGTTTGATAAACTAGTGGGCTTAATTCTACTCGTCTCATATATGAAACTAATTGTGAAAGTTGAGGTTAGCTTGTGCAAGCTCGATTTGATTTCACTCAATTATTTTGAAAAAGGAATAAATTGAAATCGATCCACTCAATTTAGCTTGTCGTTTAAATCAATTGTAATTTTATCTTTCACTAGTTTGCTAATAAAAAATCCTTACTAAATCATAGTAAGAATGGGTGTTTGCCAATATGATTTAGTTCGTTTAATAAACAGTCTTATAACATATTTGTTCAAGCTCGACTGTGCTGACTATACAGACAAGCCCGAGCTTGAAAGTCTTGATCAAGGTTCAAGTTAAGAGTTGTTTAAGTCCATAGAAATTACTATATACTTTTCCACACCATTTAATATGTTTTTGTTGTATATATTTTTGTATTATATTATAGTAGTGTGTATTAGTTTCAATACTAGTCATTTCTCGTATATCTTAATTTGTACAATAGTTATTTTAATTATTTTTTTTACTTCATCTTGAAATTTAAGTAAAAATAATTACTGCAATAATAGAAATTAATTAGTACAATTAATTGTTTTCTATAATATTGATGAACGAAAACCGATTGCTGCTTAGACATGCCCGGCAGGTTGTCGGGTTCAGAATCACCGACCTTGAATCGGCTCGTAGTCGTACCTAGTTACGGGTCGAGTACACGAACCGATGGGCTGAACTTGACCAGACCCAAATTTGGGACTCGTCTTAAAAAAATTAAAAGAAATGAAAAGAATAAAAAAAAATATTACTATTGATTTCTCAGGCCGGTCCTGGCCCTGGTTTTGGCCCTGGCCCTACTGCCGGGTCATATGTTATATACATATGATCTTGAATCGGCTCAATTTGAATACGGGCACGGGCCCATACTTGTGGTCATCGGGTCTGATGGGGTCGGGTGATTTGTTGCGTCTATAGTTGTTGTAGTCCATTGGCATCACAAGAATTAGCCAAGTCTCATGATCCGACACTAGCACGTGGACCAAGTTTCCAAACCTTAGTGATTAAGATACACAAATGAAAAAGAAAATACAGACAAAAATAATATTTAATAAATAATTGCCCCAAGTTTTAGTAGAATAACGCATTTTATGATATGATTTTGTATAATTCTATATTTTAAAGCGAAACATACAAAGAAGAGGAGTAGGCGAAGTCGTCATCAATCTTAGCTCGTTTATTAATTTTAATGAATCGAATTCAAATATTAATATATCAAACTCCGACCTTAATCTTAGCTCGTGTATTAATTTTAAGGAGTCGAGTTCAAGTCTTAATAAACCAAACTCGAACAAGAAGAGCACTAGAATATCATATAAAATAATTTATTTTAATCCTTACCGAGCAAACTCCAAATAAAGAAGTCTGACCCTTTATATCACATCATTTTACAATAATAAAATTTATTAATTATAATAAAATATATTAATTATTCTACTAACATTCTTTTCAATTTCCCAAAATTATTTGTTCCAATTCCTTTACATAACCTTGTAAATAGATGAAAGAATGAAGATAAACGCTCATCTTACCGGAATGTTTGGTATGCTCTTCAATATGACGCCTGTTGTTCAGCTTAGACTTATGGGACTAATCTTTTGTTACCATATCATTTGATATACATCTCTAAATCTTGTGAGAACAATAACACTTGTTCAATTTATAAATCTCTACTTTTTTATGAATTCACAGTGTAGAGAATTGATAAGTTGGAATCTTTTGGGTTATTTTACACTGACAAATTCAGATTAGAAACAAAAGAAGCGTGAATACAAATTGTTTGGAGCAGAATGGAGTCTTCAAAAGAGAATGACAGGCTTCTCCAGACCTGTGTCGTCTGGTTTGATAGCAAAGCTTTGTATTATTCGAATGGCGTTGGTAAAAATCTTGCTGTTGTGTTGTTTTTTAGGCTCTTTGAGAAATTGAGGGCATTAAAGGCAAATGCTAATTAAGCAAGAAAAGGAGATTGCAGTATAAAATCAGCAAGGTGCATAAATGTGTTCTTTGACTTGTGTGGCACTATACACATCGGTTAACATCAATAATCGAGTTATGATCACTCAATTGCTATTAACCAAAAAAAAAAATGAGTAATTCTGTTTTATCTTTTCTGGCACTGTATTGCAATAAGATATTTTTCTTGCTAGAGATATTAATAATGCAATTTCTTGCCATATTCTCCAGTTAAATCAACAGTTCAATCAGTGGAATTTCATTTCTTTCTTCCTTTCTTTTTGGGACAAATTGCAAGAAATTATGAACAATATCAAGGATTCTGAACCAACAAAAACTAATATAATAGTCATACCATCATGAAATAAATAAATAAACAAATCTTCCCCATCAACCAATTTCTTTCTTATTAAGAAAAATGGGTGCAATTTTTTTTTTTTTTTGGCCTTACAGATTGAGAGGGACGTGCTGTATGAATATGGATAAACAAATGGATGTTGATGCCAATATAGAAAATTAGTGGAATGTGACTGCCTATACTTTAAACCATTAGGGACTGTAGAAAATTTAAATCTCTTCTTATCAAACCAATATACTTGAATTAGAAGAAACTTGGGTAAAAGCACTACCAAGCAGGTTGGCCTATTACAGAAACATTTGGACCACAAAAAAGCAAAATGCATCTTTTTCATTAACCCAACAGTCACAAACCATTAATTTGGAAGTTCAAACAAGATAATTTTTTTCCCCACAAGAAAATTTCTGTCTACTAATTGAATCAGAAGAAAAATGAAGAAGGAACAAAATATTCTCACCACAAACAGCTTTCCCCTAATTAATATCAACATCTGTGTATGCTTTTTAATCAGTATCTATATTTGCTTGAAGGCATCCATGTTTTCACCACCACCCAATTCCTGAGAAATTGATGATGCCAATGGAAAATTACTAAAATCTCCCTCATCATACTGAAACTGGAAAACTGATTCCAACTTATCATCCTCACCTTGCCAAGAAAATGTACTCACATTTCCAAAATCATCGTCGTTGTTATTCGCCCGGTTATTTGCTTCCGAACCATTTCTTGAGCTTCCTTTAACTTCACTTATCATGTAAGCACTCATTCTCGAACAACCGTCTGAATAATCAGCAGCTTCGACAATGGTTTGGCAGTCAAAATTCGGCATTGACCTGAAATTCTGGTTATGATCAGAAGGCATTGAGCTGAAATCCTGTTCATATGCATTTTGTTGAAAACCGGACGAGAACAATAGAGAGTCTTGTTTTCTCATTAGTGAATGTGAATCGATTTGACGAATTTTTTCGCTTTTCAGTTGAGGCATTAATTGAGTTATTATCGGCTTGTGAGTGTTTGGATCAATGCCTTGCTTTGTTAGTTTCTTCTTGAGCGTCGAGTTCCACAAGTTCTTGATCTCGTTATCGGTTCTTCCGGGCAGTCGTGTCGCGATTTGAGCCCACCTGTCATTTCAAATTCAAATTATATCAACAACACTTGTAATTTTAACCGAACAAAAGAATGTAATCCAAACACTACTTATAAGCACCTGTTGCCGAGAGTCTGGTGTAAAGCAATGATCAAATCCTCCTCATCTTGTGAAAACATTCCTCTCTTGAGATCAGGCCTCAAGTAATTTATCCATCTCAACCTGCAACTCTTCCCGCATCTTTGCAAACCTGCCACAAAAGAAAAAAAATAAGAACAATACAATAAAATAAAATCCACCATATCTATGTCCTTTCGTTCATAATAAACGATATAGAATCTTCTAACTCTAAGCATGCTAAACAAGAATGAGTGACATTAACAATAAAAAAGAACCTGCTAATTTAGGCACAGAGCTCCAGCAACCTATACCGTACTTTGTAATGTGATTGTGTAGTTTTTCATCTTCTTCGGGTGACCACAAACCTTTCCTCATTTTCTGCTTTGCATTGCACGAATTTCGCCCCATTTTTCGATTCACGTTGTCTGTGAAGAACAACGAGTATATATAGTATGATCAAAGAAAAAAAAAAGTTGTGATTAAAAATATATAATCTTTAATTTCAAGTGATTTTGAGGGGGTGGGGCAAATCTTGGTTCTGTTTTTTGCAAATTGGACTTGATTGGGTTTTAAGATATCTCTATCTCAAAGCACAACTAGAATGAGATTAAAAGATAAGGAATTTATTATATTAGAATGAGATTAGGAACTTTAATATAATGATAACATAATTAAGCATTACACTAGAACGATTAATACATATATAATTACGTACTGGGAGAAATGTATGCCTGGAATGGAAGTATCTTGAAAATAGGTGTGGAAAAATGGCAGTTCGTGCAGTCTAGTTAGAAGTTATTTGGTTTGATTGATATATAAGCTTGGGGACCCTTGTACTTTTTTTTTCTTTTCTGGGCCAAGTCTTATTAGATTATATTATTTATTTGTATATATGTATCTTTATTATCTTCATGAAAATCAACTTACATTGTTTGTTTCTCATAATTCTCACAAGACTTTGGAATGTGTAATCAGAGGCACATTCACACTGATGTTTGATGGGTGTGTTAAGCCAATGGTCGACTGTATGCAGTCTTATGGTACATTAAGGCTTTTTTTTTTTTTTGGGGTTTTTTGGTCTATCACTAGTTCATAACACGTTTAAAAATGTCTTTATTTCACATTAACTTGATTGAGAAGCTGAAAATGATGGGAGCTGACTAGTTCTCAAACTTCATTACTTATCAGTTATCAATACAAATAGTTTGTTTTTGCAAGTTTACGACTAATTTTGTTTTCTCAAGCAAAACTATTTAGATGCCTCTTAAATGTCATGATTATTCATCCTTGCATTTGTAGCTTTATTATCATTATTATTACTTTGTCATTTTACTAGACAAACCATGTATAAGATCTCAATTGCTAGGAAAAAAAAGATCTGAATTGTTGATTTTGGCTATATTATAATAACAAGAGTAATTCATATAGGTTTGTGTTTTTCCCAAAACTTCGAACTTATTTCAGATGCTCATTAAAATACTGGTTAAAAAAATTTTAAAAAATGAAACTATTGCTTCAGATCTATTCATTAATTTAACCAAACATTTTTAATATGTAAAATAATTTTTTAATCTTCAATCATCAGTTATCAACTATCAGCTCGAAATTAACTTTTATTAACTAATATTTTCGACTAAATGAAGCAACATACCCTATATATCTAACATTTCAATTAAAAATCCACAAAGGTGAACACATGGTGGGTAATAGAATCTCATAAGTCCATAGCTGGACCTACATATAAGGTCTTGGGAAAGATAAATGATAATCCCAGTTTGAAGTTAACTAAAGGCTATTATGTGAAATGATAAATCTAACTAATCAATTCTCACAACTGATAAGGCTAGAGCATCATGCTATTTAGACTCCCATGTCACATTATGTCTTTTTTTCTTTCATCTTAGCAACAGGAATGATTTCAACAATAATTTGCAATGGAAATGTTGTTAACATGCCATTGGTTTAGAATCAGCTTGTGTTCTTGATTACTATTGTGATATTTTCCTTGAGTATTTATAGATCATTCAATTTGTTTAGTTACAATTTATCAAATGTACAATATATAAATATTGAGAAATAGATATAAAGACTGAAATTAAAGAGAGAATAGGTTTTATTACGAAAAGACTACTAAAATTTTGAAGGAATTTTGAGCACTTATGATTTGTGGATATCCAATAGTTAAATCTCCAAAATTCGTAATCAGTAATAACGCAACACTATCCTTATCATTAAATGGAGTTGNTCTACATCCAAGCAAACTACTAATCTATCAGTTTAATTTACCAAATAATTTTAACTGAGTTAATTTGGATCAGTTTCAATCACCTTCTCAGTTTTAACACATCACAAGCTGTAGCCACTAAATTTTCAACAGTACGGACCCATAAAACAGATCTTTTGTCATTGTACATCTGAAATAGCACATAATAAAACTACACATATAGCCAACCACAATTCGAATAATCACAGTTCACAGCACAGTACAAGATGAACGTTTGTAAAGCAGTCATTCGATTCGAGGTCAGTAATTTTTGGCGAGGAATATCATCTTCGATTCTGTTCATCAGTCCTATCCTCCTCCTTGACGGTATCAGAACTACACCTGAATAGCAAGAAAGACGTGAGATAATAAATTAACTCACATTCAATAAAAGCTTTCTGATGCAAAGAACAATTCCATGCCAGTCTTCTTTTTACAAATAAAATTTCATTCCAAAAGTTCAAAAGTGATCTAAATGAAATGTTCAACCGGATTCACAAAGCATATGGTATAGTAAAAACAATAAACATACGAACTGACACTGATCTCAAAGGCACTTGATCTCATCAAATCACAACGATTTGCAGATTTAATAAAGGAAACCTGTCGTTCTCTTTTCTTTTTTTCGAATGGTAAGAAATCCATTTAGATGGTCAAACAAGGAAACTTTTCCAACACAATAGAAGGATTAATCACTGAACAAGGACTTTTAAATAACATGTAAGCTGAGCAAATTCTAGGCAACTCTTGCCTATACAGAAACTGTAATAACAACTCCAGAAAACCCCTTGTGATATTTATTGTGAATAAAGCTTCTGAAGCAAATGATCATTTGCAAGCCGCTTAAACTGATTAAGTTTAGCTTAAAGTCATCCTTCAAAGAGAGGTCTTTCTTGACATTTTCAGTTAAAAAATGAAAAATAAAATCATAACATCCATGGTCGGGGTGGTGAGTTATTGGGGTGAGGTATTTTTTTGAGGTACAAATTTGTTCGAGATATATTGAAGTAGCAAATATTTAATGAGTTGGTTAAACCTCAACTTTCCCCTTACTGTTTGTTAGTATTTTAAAAATCGCATTTATATATCCATGGGAGATTTGTTAAATAACGGGCTTATAATTTTGGAAGATGACCTGATTTTATTATTGTAGTTACAGCTAAATTTCGTTCGTAGTTTCTGTAATTTATCTTATTTAAAGTCATCATGAGATTTCTTGTTCCGGCATAGTGATCTCCACCCCATTCGAACACGGAACAACTAATTACATCTTAATGAAAAATGAGATCCTTTTCAAGAAAATCAGATGCTACCTCATATCTGTACTTGTTTCATATGTAACTTCACCATTCAAACTTCGCTGTGCAAATTCCCCATTCTCATCGTCATCAGACTCATACTCGGCATCACCATTCCATATACGAGGTTTGGGTCTCACTTCCATGTCATCTTCTCTCTGAAAATAAGCATATACCACTATATCAGAATTAAACATAAAAAATAAACACAATACTTTAGTCGAAGTTTTTCTGTGCAGACCTCTTCTGGAACTTCTGTGGTTGGAGGCATGTACTGAAAAGGGACGCTGGGTGCATGTTGTAGTTTAGAAAGTTGATCAAGTAACATGTTTCTGCAATTCCAGACGAATTAATTATTTAAAACTAGAGACCGAAAGAATAACAAACTGAAATGGTTACCAAACCGGACGTTGCATTATTAATGATTTAACATATTGTTCAAGCTTTTCACATAAGTAGTGCCTAAAATCATGTTGGGGGACGAGTGATTGGTCGGGAAAAGTGTGTATATTATATATTTATTAGCGTATTTTTATATGCTTAATTTTGTCGTACTTATATATCTTTCGACTTATTTATTTGTTAGATGGATTCTTGTACTTTGATATTTTTATGGTTTATTTTTAGGATATTGGAGTGTTTTCATGGGAAACGTGGCATTGAACGAAATTACACCCGGAGGCCGGGAGCAGTACGGGGGTACACCATATTCTACTACTAACAGAGCTGGTACCCCATACCAGCCCAGTTATTCGTCAATTTATGTCATGTGCGAAAATTAAGCTCAAATTATTCAAATTATGGACCCATGCGTTAAATTAAGAAAAGATGGGCCGAGAGAAGACTACACAAAAGACCCAAGGATACAAATAATTCATTGAGCAAGAGACCTAAGCCACCGAGGAGAGGAATTCATACACGCATGCCCTTATTTAATTAATTGGAGGGCCACCAAAATTGCAGACCTGGAAAAAAGATTTATCCACGCAGCCGCAATTCAGAGGACAAAAAGAAAAGAAACAGAGAAAAAGAACGGAATATCAGACACGAGAAGGCACGAACAGAGCTTGAAGAAAGGGAACCCGATCAATCGCGGAGGGAAGCCGCACTCGCACACGAAAGGGGATATTCTTATTCTCTTTCTTTTATTATTTATTATGTTAGGCTAGGTTTTTACTTCTAGTTCCGGGGAAGTCGAACCCTACGATTGATGTTTTGATTGATTTATATGGTTGATGATTTCAATATCTTTTTAGAATTGTTTGTGTTATTTTGAATAATTAACCATGATGTGTTGAGTATTATTTAGATTGATCACCTTGATTAGGGTTTTCATATCTACATCTGAATTAGACCTTCAATCCGTAATTGTTGTTGTGTTTAATTCATAAGAGGTAACCGGAAGATGGTAATTACCGTGGATAACACAGCCTATTTAAGTGAACGAACGCGGTTTAGTTCACTACTTAGTCTAGCCTATTTTTCTAATTCGTAAAGCGGCTAATTGTATTAAATCTTGAAAACGTTTTTCTGGACTGTACAAGAAGTCAGGTTTAATCGTAGAGCGTCTCGCGGTTAAATTAAAAATAAGGAAAAAATTCGGGTAACAGACCGTGTCGTTGCCTAAGGCTAGTAATTTCATAAGATAGCGAGATTTGATACCAGAATTGATTAGACGAGTCAGTCTCGACTGTAGACGGAACCGTGAACTAGATTTTCTCTTTATTATTCTATTTTATTTTTTATTTTATTGCATTGTTTAGATTTTATTTATTTAATTAGAATCTTAGTTATTAAAATAACCCCCTTTTATCGCTTTTCATAATTTCGATTAATACAAGAATATCACAATTTTAATCACACTCCTCGTGGGATCGACCCTTGCTCGCCACTACTGCTAGTTGGTAGAGGCTAGTCGAGGAAAAATATAAATTATAATTTTGCCGCGTTGCGACGCGCGGTCAAGGAGGAAGGGGGAAAGTAACATAGTAGACAATTGTCCATAAGTACAAAATATGCACTAATACATGAGCAATATAAATATATAAAATAAAGGCCCAGAAGTACCAAGCCAGGTCGTTATTCAACTCCAGTGATAAGGAAGTTAAAAGAAAAACGAGCAAAGGATATCATGAGCATTAAGTGGTTTCACATGGCATTGGAATGAGTAAAACTTGAAGAAAACAGAATAATATGAAGAGAATAGTATGCCATTGGTTTTACATGGCATTGGAATGAGTACAGTCCTAGAACACGTTTTTAGGGGAACTTTGGTACAAAAGATCACCTGATTTTCTCTAAATCTCTGTCTGTATTCAGATTTTCCATAATGCCTGGTTCCACATGAAGTGTATAATCAGGGCCAAAGTACTCAAAATATTCATTGTAAGGCAGCTTATTATCTGGTTCAACGTCAACTGCCACTGCAGTCTAGCACATAGCAAATGAGTATATCAGCGGATATTCCAGAAAAGTAGATGAATATAACTTCATGGAAACAAATAAAGATTCAAATAAAGGAAATAATTAAAAAGATACCCTTACGATAAAGTTGTCAAGTTGTAAAAGAAACCTAAATGTTCAAAATTATCAAAGCACCAAAAAAGAAAAGCAAAGGCTCTTGATATTTTTTTTTTTTTTTATTTTACAATTGCACTCTCCACAGAATTGTGTTTGCTGAGTTAATGCAAACCACCAAGAGGTTTTGTGATATTGATAATATTGAAAACAACTTGATTGAATTTCTGTTTAGGATACACAATAAACATAGTTTTTCCATCTTAAACGAAATGAAAATGCACAGGCAAAGTAACAAGAGAGGACGGGAGACACACACACACGCATCCGCGTGCGCACACACGCACGCACACACAAACAGAAAGAGAGAGAGAGAGAGAGAGACCTCGTAACACCAGCAACGAGCAACATTCCTTATTGTATACCCTCCCCCACCCAAAACCATGAGAGGAACATTGAACGACCTCAAGAATCGAAGACAATCTGCATGGCCCTTAACTGATAAATTAAAGCAACCTAACCGGTCGCCAGCCAATGAATCTGCCCCACACTGAAGAACAACAGCATCTGGCTGGTAAACTTCCATAACTTTTTGCATAATGGGGCGGAATAAAGTACGGAAGTTTTCATCATTCAGCCCATCATTTAACGGGACATTAAGAGCATAGTACTTCCCCGCACCTACCCCAATGTCTTTAATATGCCCAGTTCCAGGAAAAAAGTCACCAAATTTATGGAATGAGACTGTCATTACCCGGTCAGTCACATAAAAAGCCTCCTCGACACCATCTCCATGGTGAACATCAATGTCAACATAAAGCACACGCTGCAAGTTACAACATAATGTCAGAAACGCAATAACATTTAAACAGCAAGACTATGTTTAACTTTATGTCAAATTATGTTATTAGAAAGTACAAAAAATGCAACCATAAAACTTCCAACATGTAGATCAGATCATTAATACAGTAAAAAAATCACATGTTTATGATTTTTTTTAAGTGATCATCCAGTATTAACAATCTATTAGAAACGGGGCGAGGGGGTCAATAAAAAAAGTGGACAATGGCGATGAGTTGAAACTAGCAAATAATGATAGCTGAATACTGATTCAACGTTAAAACCCAATTATCAATTCAATTCACGTTTTCGTGGGAAATTTGCAGCCACTTGTCACATTATAAATCAAATTGGGTGCCACTGCTACACACATAATCCATCGTGTAAATAGCACAAACAAAGAGAAAAAGGAGCATGCCTAGAGGATAGTAGATTAAAGCAAAGAACACCACTAATCCAGACAATAGAAAGAAATGGATAGAGGGAAATGTGTCCAACACTAAACAATTCTCTGAACCATGGATAATCTATTACACAAACAAATTGTTACTGCTCAAGAACCCCCCATATGTGTGTGTGTGTGTGTGCGCGTGTGTGTGTGTGTGTGTGGAGTACATATACGCAGATATTTGGCTATGCTTCAATCTTTACGAGGCTGTGATATTAGAATTCTTGGAATTACCTCATTTTCAAGAGCATAATATTGAAAATTAAATTCATGACTACAAACATCAGGCCAGGAATCAGTTCGATTAATCCACAACAAATGGAGCTGAACAAATAATGCTCCCTAAACCAAGTAAACATAACAGTATTTACACATTAGAATTGCGATATATATGACCATCCAAAAAATATAATGGATTTAAAGACCAAGTTCATTACCCTATGAACTTTAAGCAGCTCTAAAATCCCCAACACAATATCATTGACATAGCAAAACCCTGAAGCCTCGCTCTTCTTTGCGTGATGCAACCCCCCTGCCCAATTAATCGCGATATCGGCATCCTGCCTGTTGAGCTTGACGGCGGCGCCAATGGATCCCCCGGCCGATGCCTGACAGAAATCGAACAAGCCGTCGAAAACGGGGCAGTCCTCCCCGACATTGAAGCGCTTGAGCTGACGCGCGTGTGTGTGGTCGTGAAGAGTATCGGGGGAGACCGAGGAAAGAAAGTCGACATAGTCCGGCGAGTGGAAGCGCCGTATGTCGGTGGAATCGGCGGGGAAGGGGCGGCTGATTTCCATGCGGCGGTGGAGGGAGTAGTGGACGATGAGATTGTGCGCCATGCGAATGCGGTGGGGCTTCATCGGGTGGCCCTGTCCATAGTAGTAATCGCCGATTGTCGGCTCGTAGAAGTAGGATACGCGCCGCTTGCGAGCGTCAGGGCAGGACGATGGCAGTGACGCGCCGCCGCCGGGATCCATTTTTCAGGGGTGGAAGGGATAGAAGAAACGAGGGGGGCCCTATTGAAGTATTTTGACGAGTTTATAAAAACAGCTTCCAAAGTCCGGTTCGGCCGGCAATTCGTGTAGTTTCTAAAAACTAATTTAATTTAAGACATCCTAAAAGTATATTTATTTAAATTTTTTAATACTTTTAAAAATCTCGAGTTATTCATTTGAAGTTATAGTTTGATTTTTAACTTTAGTTCTTCGAATTCATAAAATATGGGACGGTTAAATTTAGTTTTAGTTGCGGATATTTGTGAAATATTCGTAATTTTGTTTTCAAGATATGTACATCTCATTTCCAACTTTTAATAACTGGAAAAAAAAAATAAAAACGATGAAGAATAAAAAAATTAAATTAACTTAAAAAAAATGACAAACATCATTCAAATTTTAAACAAAAGAAAAGTTGTTATCAATAGTTTTTCATATATATAAACAAACAATTTTAAACATAATGGAGGCACAACGTTTTTCCAAACAATTTTGAATATTTGCCGCCGGTTTCTTTGTCAGAATTTGCATCTTTATCAGTCAAAGTTCTAAGGCGCGATGGCTAATCTTACACCTTGAATGACCTAAAAACAAATCAGTTGTCATTTTCAAGATGTTGAGTTGTTTTTCAATTAAAACAACACAAAATATATATTTAATAAATTAATAATATAATTTAAAAAAACCAATAAACAAGATAGTGAGTGTCGTAACAACAAAACAACAATATAACATATGTCAAGCAACATCAAAATAAATTTTAATTAACAAAAGAAAAATTACAAAATTAAGTTTTTATATCAAATATATGAGAGATTTAGGGGACGATTGGATATCAATTGGTTGAGTTAAAAATTGATTTTGCACTGATTTTTACTGTTGGGTTTATGCTTGAATATCAATTGTTGGGTTTTGTCATAGGCCCACAATTTTCCTTTTTTCTCTGCACACATTCATTATACTCAGATTGTTTTTTTATGGTACGCCCCCCAAGGCACCAAACCAGCCTTCACATGTTCATCTCAACAAAAAATCCATGCACTTTTCAAAAAATCCATGCACTTTTTTGTCTTTTTTTGGCCCAAAAGGCTGCCAGTTTTATTTTCTTTTATTATTGTTTTTTAATTGAAAGCCCAATGCATGTGAATGGCCTAAAAAATTGCTGTCACAGCAATCATTTTGGTGGGCCGGGCAAAATTAGATCTAGTAAAAAACTAGTTGAGCTTCTCTCCTTTATTAGTAAAAAATCAGTTAAATTACCAACTAGTTGATATCCAATCACCCCATTAATGTTATAAAGAAAAAGACAACATTAAAACAATCAAACAATACGAAAACAGCNAAAAAAAAAAAAAAAAAAACAATATTGGCCCAAAGAAACCAACCCATAGTTTAAGTCCCGTCGACTTGGATGATCCAAAGGTTGAGGGACTGACACATCGACACTAGTGATAGGGCTTCGCCCTCTCAATGAAAAGCCGTCATATATATTAGAAGGGTTGGCAATCGAGTTCTCCGACAGATTCGTCGGTCTTGGGGCGTTGACCGACAAAAATTCTGGCAAGAGAGAGCTAAAGACATCTGGGTTGCTGCTCGAGGTCAGTTTTCCTTCACTCGCCACCTTTACTCCCTCCATGACAAACGAGCTTGTTGGAATAGTGAGATCATTGGCCTGAGGGTGTCCTTTGACTGATCAAACCACTGAGATGTGGCGTTTAGCGGTTGCAACTGGGAGTCATAATTCAATTGCAGCATGGTGGACTCTGGTTGTGATTGGAGGTCGTGTTTCGGTTGTGGCAAGGTGACTTTCAATTGTGTCATGTAAACCTTTTGAAGTTAGAAAATGGTCGGTGATGGTGCAACTTTGAAGGACGGCGATGTGGTATTTTTCCATATTCTATTTATTTTTTTCGACTGCAGTAGTCCTCTCGAATCAGAGGCCGGTAATTCTTGCAACGAGAGATATTTCTACGATTGTACATTTTTTGCTACAGAAATAAGAAAATCGTATGGATAATGAAGAAAGAGAAGGTAGAAGAATGAATCTACATGTTATCAAGTTAAATAAGAACAAAAAAATAAAAACTGTGAAAACATAAAATAGCATTTTAACATATTTGATAAATCATATTATTAATGTAAATGATATTTTAAGTCCAATAGATGGCCTAGTTGGGCGAGGGCGAGCTCTCACCCGACCTGAGACCCGGGGATCAAATCCGCTTCATTTCAACCCGTTTCTAAAGTGCGCTTACGCGGGCCACCATCGGCGCGAAGCGTCCCTTTGCCGCCACCTGCGTTGCCGAATTCTCTGTTTCTCCCTCCTTCCCCGGCTGTCCTCCGTAACGTAATAGGGTTTTCAGGTATGCGTTTACTGTTCCTACTTCTCGAGACTAGTTTCCACGATTTATATATGTTCTAAAAAGAATCTCAAAACTCGAGTGCGATTTTTGCCACTGATCTTCAAATCAGTACTTCGTTATAGCTATTGCAGTGATATAATTTCAATTTTATGTGTGTCAAGTTAAAATGCGACTTTTTTTATTCTTTTTTGGCGCAACCCCAAAACATCCAGTAGATTGGGGAAGATCAGGGTGTAGAATTGTAAACACATTTTACTGTCACGTAAGATCGATCGAGGGGAAAAAGGATAATACCGATTAGCATTTGCAGTAGACGAAAAGAATAAAATGCGATTTCGCTTCAGTTAATTGAAACCTTCTGCAAATCCTCAGCCACACTCCAAAAAATATCACACAAAATGGTCTAATCAAATGATAGTTTGACCCATTTTGTTGCTTTCTTTGCCTATCGGTGCTTGCCCAGATATTTCACTGCCACCTAGTAAGCCATTCAAATGTGATGAGTGATATGAAGAATTACATTCTGAAATAAATGCTTCTTTTATGCACAGATAAGGTGAAAGGCTGGAGAAAATGCTTAGTCGTCCGATGTTTGTAGCTTTGACCGAGAGGGTCTTCTGGGGTTGGTTCTTTCTTATGGTCGGCTCATTCTCGTTTGTGGGTTTCCTATATGCTGCCGTTATATCGAAGCTTCAGCCTCCGTCTCATAGTGTGATCATACGGGCAATACAAGATGATTGGTATTTGTTCTCTTCCGAAATATTTCAATTATTTCAAGTTTAGTGCATCTAACTATCTTGATGGTTATGGACTATTCCCCTATAATATCACACCATTGTAGCAAAGAGATGTCTTCCTGTTTCTTGTGGTACTTCTTATTGAAAATGGATTGATTTTCTTATTGTGGTGGAAAACTGAAAACGTGATGTTCTCAAAGTTGAATTTCTTGGTCTGTCAATATACGAGCTAAGTAATTCCACATGAGAACTAAACTTGATTAGAAGGATCTATACTGGTGAATCTAATGAATTTTCTAGTAACTCCACATGAGAGCTAAGTTGTATTTTTTTTATATTTATTTTTAAAACCGTAATTAACATACCATTTAATTTTATCACCATTTTTTCTGAGTTTGGTCTATGCAAAACATTTGCCATTCATCCGAGACTAACAAAACCAATCGTCTGCATTACTCAGTTACTTCGCATGCTTACGTAAACAAAAGACGGAAGAGTTTGATAGTTTATATGACTGTGAACAGGTATTATTGCTTCTTGGTGCCTCTGACACTTCCGATCCTCGTTGTTGCAGTGTATCTTCATTGGTTAAGCATGAAATTGTTCAAGCATGCATGATATACTTTGGCAAGGTTCAATTGGCTACCGTTTTGCGAAATAGACTCATTTTTTTTGTAAATTGAGACTCATTTTTTTTTGTATTATTTCAAGCATGCATGATTTACTTTGGCAGGCTTCTACTTTGGACCTCTTTCCGAAAACGACTTTTCGTATTTTGACATTAAGGTCTTGTATACAAGGTAAGGAGACATCAGCCCTAGATGGATCAAATATTCATAAACTTTGAAGAGTTCAAAGATGGTTTAAAACTTTCAATTATGAAGGGACTTTTATAAGAACACGGAACGGCTTCTGATATCCTATAGAATGGTTTGTGTTGTGGTCTTGCCTTAGAAAGCTAAGGCTGATGGCTTTGCTACCACCTGGTGCCGAATTATTGATTAGTGAGATTGAAGGATTTGATTGATTTTTGTATTATGCAAATTGGTGTCAACTGCTGCATTGAAGAGCTCTCTGGAGTATCATCTAGTATGTTTTTTGCTAGATTTTGGAAGCTTGTTGAACGAAAGATTAGTTATCTATTTTGAGCTAATGAGTCGTATTCATGAAAAACGGAACGAGCCACTTAGGGTGCTATTGGCTACTAATTATTTCTAGCTTTGAATAAGTGACTATTGGAGGGTGAAACTCCCTTTGAAGCTAGAAGTCACGGGATCGATCTTGACTATTGTGAGGAGTGTGAGTGAGGCATTGCACTTTTCCTGGGAGGATTAGTCTCACCCTTTTGGTTGGAGATCACCTAGGCGTGATAGGCCCTTTACCGTGAGTGGTGAAGCCGTGGAGTGAATGTGGGGATACCTCTGAGCCGAAAAAAAAAATAAAAAAAATCTCTTATGAGCTTGGCTTAACAGATAGGGTTTTTACTGTAACGTAATTTCATACTTTTAGCTTATGTATAGTCTCCTTATGTATTGACAAATTAGCTGCACTCAAGCACATTTATCAGGTTTTTAGTTATCGGTTTTGTTACATCCATTGATGGTTGATTAGTGTAAAATTTTCACCTATATTGCGATTTTCTCATCCTTTGTTGTGTGGTTTGCATTCCTTAATAATATTTGTACATTATAGGATTCATATTGATATGGAATTTGCGTAATTGTGTTGTATTATGTTACCTACTAGACTGTTAGTATCAATAAACTTATTAAAATAACAATTTTACTATGAAGCTAACAGTTGGCTTCATAGTGGAGCCAACCTTCTATATACAACAAATAAATCTATCATATTAATAAAATTATAATAGTGTTATTTAATAAACTCATAGACTGATTTTGATACTTTTCAAATTTCAAAGACATTGCAGATACCTAGAAAAAAGAACATTTCGAAACAGAGCATGTTTGTTTATAAAAAATTTTGGTTTTGTTTGAATTTTTTGATTTGGTTTGGTTAATTTTGAAAAAGGTGATATGATTAGTTGTTAGCGATTTGATACAGTTTTATAACACTAAAATTTTCAAAAAAATTTTACAAGCTTATAAAACACTAAGTAGGCGATTTGATACAGTTTTATACATTTTATTTGTGCTAGTGTAAAAGTTAATTTGAAATTATATGAGATTAATAAATAAAATTGCTAACAATAGATTTTGAAATTGGAAATATCATAAATTGTTAATATAATAATA